CGGCACAATGTTGAAGCTTTCCCCTTGGTACAACTTTCGTCATCATGTCAGCAGGGTTTTCGTCAGTGTGAATCTTTTCCAACTTGAACTGTTGTTCTTCCACTGCTTGACATAGTCAATGATATTTGACATCAATATGCTTCTTGCGAGAGTGGTACATCGCATTCTTACTTAAATCCAATGCGCTTTGACTATCGCAATGGATATCGTACCTTTCCTGCTTCATTCCCAATTGTTGAAGAAACCTCTTCAACCAAAGCATTTCTTTTCCTGCTTCTGTCAGTGCAATATACTCGGCTTCAGTAGTCGACAAGGCAACAGATTTCTGCAATTTAGATTGCCAAGATACAGCTCCTCCTGCAAATGTAAACACAAGCCCTGAAGTAGATTTTCTACTATCCAGGTCACCTGCCATATCTGCATCTGTATAACCCTCAAGAACTGGGTTTCCTTTGCCGAAGCTCAAGCACTTATTTGCACTACCTTTTAGGTACCTCAAGATCCACTTCACAGCTTCCCAATGATTCTTCCCAGGATTGGAAAGATATCTGCTAACAACTCCATCCGCATGAGCGATATCTGGTCTAGTACAAACCATGGCATACATCAAACTCCCGACTGCCGAGGAGTATGGAACACCCGCCATAACTTCTTTTTCTTCTTGATTCGTAGGACAACATCGTTTGCTGAGTTTGAAGTGATTGACCAACGGCGTATTGACTGGCTTAGCCGTTTTCATGTTGAATCTCTCTAGAATCCAATTCACTTACCGTTCTTGCGATAACCATAACCTCCTCGATTTTCGGTTTCGCATGATCTGCATGCCCAAAATTTGTTTCGCAAGGCCTAGATCCTTCATTTCAAAGGACTTTGCTAAATCCTTCTTCAAATCAACGATCAGCTTCATGTCTTGTCGCACAATCAACATATCACCTACATATAACAAAAGGATAATGAATTTATCACCTGGAAATTTCTTAACGAACACACAGTGATCTACATCAGTCTTGGTATATCCATGGTTCGTCATAAACGAGTCAAATTTCTTGTACCACTGTCGTGGAGCTTGTTTCAATCCATACAAGCTCTTCTTCAATCTGCAAACCATGTGCTCCTTTCGAGTCTTCTCAAATCCTTCTGGTTGCTTCATGTAGATTTCTTCATTTAGGTCCCATGAAGAAATGCAGTCTTCACATCTAGTTGTTCAAGCTCCAGATCCAAGCTAGCCACCAATCCGAGTATTACTCGAATAGAGCTCATCTTTACAACCGGAGAAAATATCTCATCAAAATCTATTCCTCGCTTTTGTCTAAATCCTTTCACGACTAAACGAGCCTTGTACTTCAACAGCTTGTCACAATCTTTCTTAAGCTTGAACACCCATTTATTCTTCAAGGCTTTCCTGCCTTCTGGAAGCTTCACAAGCTCATAAGTTTCATTTTTCACTAGTGAATCCATTTTTTCTTGCATGACTTTCATCCACTGAGATTTATCCTTATGAGTCTGAACTTCTTTAAAGTTCTCTGGTTCCTTCTTCAGTGATGGTAATATACGTGGAACTAGGGTACCTCGTAGATGGTTGGATCGCTCGATTTGATCTCCTGAGCTCAGGCGGAGCTTCGAGGTCTTCTTGCTCGACACCTTCACCATCACCATCTTCAATTGCTGGTTCATCATCAACCCTGAGTTCTCCATCACACTCTCCCCCTACTGTGGCATCTCTAGGAGGTTCTACAGGTGAAAGATCCACCTTACCATCTGGTTCACTGATTTCTGGTGAAGCAGAATCAGACATAGTTTCTTGCTCATGGAACACTACATCTCTGCTTTTGATAATTTTCTTCTTTTCAGGATCCCATAACCTGTAGCCAAATTTCTCATCTCCATAGCCCAGAAATATACAAGGAATGGCTCTATCGTCAAGTTTTCGTCTCTGTTCCTTGCTTACGTGAGCAAAAGCTTTGCATCCAAACACCTTCAAATGAGAGTATTTAACATAATGTCCGGACCATACTCTCTCAGGGATATCAAAACCCAAAGGAACAGATGGAGATCGGTTGATCAGGTAGCACGCCGTTAGAACAGCTTCATCCCAGAATGGCTTAGGTAACTTAGGCATTCTTAACATACGCCTCACTTTCTCCATAATGGTTCTATTGATTCTTTCAGCCACACCATTATGTTGTGGGGTTCCAGGTACAGTCTTCTCATGCCTGATTCCATGATCAGGACAATAATTCTTGAATTCATGGGAAGTATATTCCCCTTCATTATCTGAGCGAAGACACTTAAAAAGTTTACCAGTTTGTCTCTCCACCATAGCGTGAAACCTTTTGAAGTGCTGAAAAACTTCGTCCTTCGTTCTCAAGAAATACACCCACAATTTTCGTGAAGCATCATCAATAAACGTCACGAAATATTTGCTACCACCGAGACTCTCCTCTTCCATGGGTCCACATACATCAGAATACACCATCTCCAACACATTCTCTTTCAGCTTCGAGGTTTTGCTGAAAGACACTCTATGATGCTTCCCAAAGAGATAATAATCACAAGGATTTAGTTTTGAATCTTTCACAAACGGGATGAGGGACTTTCTTGCCAAAATTTGCAATCCTTTTTCACCAATATGAGCCAGTCTTTTGTGCCAGAAATTTGTTGAAACATCACTTTCGACTGCATTAAGTCCACCCTTGATCAGCTTTACTTGAGTTCTGTACAACGTCGATCTCACTGTGCCTCTAGCAGCTAACAATGATCCTTTGGTAAGCCTCCATGTGCCGCTACCAAAATTGTTAGTATAGCCTGCTAGATCCAATGCATGCACAGAGATCAGATTCAGACGTAAGTCAGGTACATGTCGCACGTCCTTCAGTGTTATTGTGCACGCAATATCAGTTTGAATGCACACATCACCAACTCCCACAGTATTTGCAATGCTGTCGTTGCCCATCTTTACTCTACCAAAGTCTCCTTCTTTGTATAGAGAAAAGAATTCCTTGTGAGAGGTGGCATGGTAAGATGCGGCTGAGTCAATGACCCACTCAACACATGAATCTGCAACATGACACTCTTCTTCTTCAACAGAGAGCAATACCACTTCTCCATTGATCATAGAGGTTGCGGTATTTTCATCGTTCTCTGATTTGTTGTTCCTCCGATCTCTATTCTTCCAGGCTTTACAGTTTCTTTTGACATGCCCTTCGTCACCGCAGTGATAACACTTGAATTTTCTTCTAGATTGAGATTGTGATTTATCTCTGGATTTGTTATTCCGGTCTCTGCTTTTACTTCTCCCCTTGGTTTCTGTGACCAGGGCTTGAGAGCTGCTTACCCCGGATCTTTTCTTCTTGTTTCTTCATTAAACATACTGTCTTTGACTTGGGTCAAAGTCAGTTTTCCTTCAGGAGCAGAGTTGCTCAACGAGACCACCAGAGTCTCCCAGCTATCCTATAAAGAACTCAAAAACTAACAACACCTGCAATTCTTCATCAAGTTTCATCTCCATGGTAACAAGTTGGTTTACCATGTCTTGAAACCCATTCAAGTGTTCTGCAACCGACCTTCCTTCCAAATATTTTAAATTCACAAGCTTTCTAATAACGAAAGCTTTATTTTGTGTTGTCTTCCTTTGATACATCTGCTCGATTTTGTTCCACAGTGTATGGGCTTTCGACTCTGTGGCAACATGGTGGAATATGCTGATATCCACCCACTGTCGGATTAAACTGACAGCCTTCCTGTGTAACTTTTTCCAATGGTCATCCTTCACATCATCTGGCTTGACGTCTCCCTTTTCTACAGGATCTTACAAATCTTTGTAGAAAAGTATGTCCTCTATTTTTGGCTTCCAAATGGAATAATTTGTTGCTGTCAACTTCACCATGGTACCCACGTTCTCCTCCATTTAATTTACACGGGTTGATACAGAGCCCAACTTGTGCTCTGATACCACTTGTTGGGCTCAGATGCCCAAATGCGGAAGGTGTAAATTAAAACACCAACGTGAAATGGTGAATAAAAATAATAATCTCACAGTAACTCAAGAATGACAAAAGAAAATCTCTTGCAATAATACAGGAATAATTCTTTTCTGATGTGGAAGATCAGATTAAATTGCGACCACAGAGCATACTAAGAATATCCCAAATAAATATTATATGCAAGAAATAAGACACCAAGATTTTAGGTGGAAAAACCTCCAATGTAGAGGAAAAAACCACGGGACAACATCCGAACAATTCCACTATATTTTCAAGATAATTACAATATCTTTTCACACTCCCCTACACTAGAAATGTAAAATATAGTGACCCAGTGAGACCCCACTCCTATTCAAATATTACAAAATGGGAGTAATAGAGATGATACCCAATCCGGTGCATTCTTTTCACACTCACAGGATTTACTCAACACTCTATTTTTCTCTCACTGAAAAATAACACTCACAAGAAATATTTTTCTTGTTCTCTTGCTCTCTCTTTTTTCTTCTCGTTTGGTGCATTTGTTCTGCTGAATGTCCCCTCTATTTATAGAGGGGGAAGTACATGTGAAAAGAAAAAAAAAAAAAACTGTGACTAAGCCACCCACTTTCATTTCTTTATTAATTCTAAAATGGTGGCTTATGGTGGTTGGCTGGATCCCACAAAATGAAGAGGGGGAACAATATTGCAATCGAAATTCATTTGCCGCCAAGAGAGAGCATTTGCCCGTCCAGACCGTCGACGAACATCCAACAAGCACAACTAGCATCCGCCCACAGTTTTGCACATCTGTTCGAGTTCAAATAAGATGTTCTAAAAGAGGGTCAGTTTTGAGATACAAAGAAGACGTAAGTTTGGGGAGCATCTCGCGAGCCAATTGTTTGACGAAAGTCATGACCGTCCATACCATTCTCATCAAGCAAGTTCATCCTTTGGTATTTTTTTAATTTCATTTTAATATATGTATGCCAATTGTTTTAAATCTAGTCTAATTCGCTTTGTCTGAGATGCTCATACCATCCGGAAGGGTATCCAAAGGACGTATATCCACCGATCTAAAATTACCCACCGCTGGGTACCCTCACGGAGGATATCCGCCACCAGAGTACGACCAAACACGGCCTTCATAGCTCAATTAGTAGCACCAGATTCATGGAAGAATGTTAAGAAAATTTCATAGCAAAAAATCAAGTTGTTTATAGAACAAAAGAATGCTAAATAACAAGATAAGCAAGCTTTGTCTTCATGCAGGGACAAGCATCACCACGTGCCAAATAGCAAGCATGACTCGTCCTTTTCCAGCTAATGCAATACAAGTTGTTAGAGGCTACTCCATTATGATTGTTGCCACATCATGTCTAAATAGATTTCTTTTGTGTGGTAAAGATTACTTGATCTAAATCCTTCCTAAAGGATGTATAAATAGCCGTACAAGTGCTTAGGTGATTGGTGTATTGTACAACATATTTAAGAAACCCTAGAGGATAATCGAATTCTACATCTTCCTTTCTCTTGTTTATTCTTATGATTATGGAGATCAATATTTTCTAATATGGTATCAGAGCTATCAAAAGTCTTCCTCAGCGGATGTTGGCATGCCCCTGTTAGCCAAATCAGTCTCTGAAATCCTTTCCTTTCAAGTTTTTATCTTTATGGCTCGATCATGGCTACCAATCCCACAGAATCTATTATTCAATTTCAAACCCAACTCATTAGTATAAAACTCACAAATTCAAACTACCTTATATGAAAGCTGCAAGTTCTAGCTGCAACAAGAGGACATGGCCTTGAAGGTTATCTATATGGTAAAGAAAAAGTTCCAAAAGAAAGAATCATATATCCAAGCAATAACATCTCTCGAGAGAATCTAACTCATGGGTTATGGATCAAGCAGGACCAACTTTTAGCATCTTGGCTACAATCATCTCTCACTGAATCCATCCTCATCACCATTGTGGGACTTACCACCTCAAGAGAGATATGGGAAACTGCCTTCTCCAGTAGAAATGCTACTAAGGTTATGAAAAATAAACTTCAGCTGTAAATCACCAAAGGGGAACTTGGCTATGAAGGACTATCTCAACAACACCAAATCATGTTGTGTTTTGATATCTACAGCAGGCCATAGAGTGAGTGAGGAGGATCAAGTACCACACATTCTTTCTGTTGGGATCTATGAGGATCTCGAAATTGTCCAAGTCACGGATTATCTACGAATTAAACCCTAAGCGCAGCGGAACTAGAAGCGAGGGTTCAACGCGTACCATTTAATATTTTTGCCGACTCTGAGACGTTTCTGATTTCCGTTGGTAGAGATCGTCTGAAACGTAGAGTTCGTTGGGCAGTCGGACTAGCTTTGCCATCACGGTCAGATCATCACGGACCTCTGTTGACTTGGTCAAACCTCCCGAGACTCAATTTGGACTTCAACCGGGTCCTGGACAAGTGTTGAATCGGTCTGGAGAGCTGCTGGACCGCCTGGGCCGTTCTGGTACTCCCTGGATCGATTTTGTACACGTTGGGCTGGTCTGGAAGGTCGTGGGCTCGCTGAGGAAAGGGCTGGACGCGCTGCATGCTAACGGGCTGCCCACTCGGGTCTGTACCGCTTCGCGTGGCCCAGTAGCAAGGGAAAAGGGCGCGGGCTGACTTCGGGCGCACGCGGGCTGGAGTTGTGTGTAACACAGGCCGCGTGCGGACTGATGCGGCCCGCGCAATTTTCCTCTCTCAGATGGGCCTCTCCCGCTGGGCTTCGCCTGGCGTTGGGCCTTGTAACACCCCGCTTATCAGAGTAACTTTTTCGCAACTTTTACTTCGAAAATACTTATATCTCTTTCGAAATCTTTTGCTAATAACTCGGGATGCTACTCAACCTTACATCTTGAAAATCCGTTTATCTTTAAACTCTTGTCTAATACCTCTTTTAGACATAAAAAAACAGATTTTCTTTAAACTTGCATTTAACCATATTCATACTTCTCGAAATGGTAAAAACTTCAAATCATAATTTTATTTAAAAATGCAAGTTCAATCATCATTGTGCGTAGCGGAATAACTCAAAGTATACTTTATTTTACAAACCAATCAAATACTTATTGAATTTATTTTGAAGAAAATGCATGACCACCATCACCACCACTCGAGCTCACACCTCCGCCTCGACCCTGTTACCTGAAAAATACAATGGGGGTGAGTACTGATCCTCTTGTACCCCGAAAACACCCATACTAAAGTAAACAGCAATAATAATACAATATCATGATCTCCGATATATAACTGGACTTAAAACTCTTCCAGTAACTCGAACTTCAGCTCACCGATATCTCATCGGATACTTGTGCACAATCTAATGGATATTTCTCAAGGCAACTCAACGGCCTCCATTAGAACTTTAGGATATACTCCGAGACAACTTAATGTCTCCTCATCCCAAGCGTATAAACTCAAACTTTTACATACCTCGGACATGATATCAATATTATACTCAATGTAATACCCAGTCTGGGTCCCCACCTTTCGTCTTTTGAAAATCGTAAGTGTTGTTCTCGAGTAGCAACTCTTCAAGCTACATAAAAATATATAAACAAATATACTAAGTACTTATGCTCATATACTCAATAAGATGCTCATTTTCTCAATTCTTTCGGTTAACTCATCCAAATCTTATAGAAATCATACTTTTTCTCAAATTAACTTTTTCTCAATCTTTTACTCAATCAATCACTTAACTCATCATATATCATATTCCCCAAATCTTACATATTTACTCATACTCCTTTTTCACTTATACATCTTGAAAGTGAAAATAAACTCAAGCATACTCATCTTATCATTTAATGATATTAATATGCCATATTTAATACAATTTTTATAAAATTGTATACTCAACATATTAAATCAAAACTTTGTCAAATTGCTCATCACTCATATGAGAATAGATCATGAAAATCTCATTTTAACAATTTGATCATATCATGAATATTCTTGCATATATACTCATCTTCACATATATGCCTTCTCATATTCATAACTTATTCATTTCTCATCTTTAAATTATGAAACTTAACAGTCATAATCTCAACTTATAATTAGACATGTCATCAAAATTTCATAATTTTATCATGCATATTCATCAAGTTATGAGAATTTAAATTCAATAATGAACATAAACTTCATCTTACATGTTCATCTTCAAAAATTCATAACTCAAGTTATATTTTACCAAATCACTTAATTCTTGATCTTATGTACTCCTCTTTTACATAAGAATTATTCATTTAAATCATACTTTTCCAGCATATTCATATCTTTATGAAAATCTCATGAAATTCAACATCTTATCACATCAAGTACATATATCATATAATTGATCTTTAACAACTTTAACTCTTTGTATCAATTATAAACTTCAACTTCTAAATCATGATATACATACTCATAAACATGTAAACATATCATCAAAACATGAACTTAGTTATGAAACTTTAAGATAAGTAAATTACCTCCTTCTTGGTAAAGTGAAAACTTGATCTTAACTTCAATTCTTCACTTCTCCAAAGATTTCTATCACTTATCTCTCTCTCACTCTTATATAAATTTTGGAACTTTATTTTGGTGTGAAAAACTCTGAACTTTAGGCCTCTATTTATAGGCAAAATTGTGAAAAACATCCAAATAGAGTGAATTTTTATTCATAATAAACAAATGTAACTTATATCTTTAAATACTCATAAAATATTTTATGATCAACTTATTCAACTCTCCAAACATATTATATACTTAGAAATTTCCTTTGGATAATTTGGACAAACATCCAAATAGAGTGAATTTTTGTTCATAATAAACAATACAAACTTATAAAAATAAATATAGATGATAAATAGTATTCTTAACATGTAAACTTCTCCAACTCATAGTCAATGCTTAGAAAGGCCCCTCTTATGATCCTAATCTGATCTCAATGATTAAATTCGAGATTTAGTGAAAATTCTCCAATTTACGGAACCAAATTCTGACTTAAAACGTACAGTTACCGTGAAATCGAAAATTCTTACAGTTTTAGAATTTCCTTCTTTTCTTTTGGCATTTTTCATTTTTTATGCTGAAAAATTTTTCCTTATCTTGTAGTCTACTAAAGAGAAAATAATTTAATGTATTTCTCGGAACAATAACTGAAATAACATAATAACTGAGAGGGATATTACAGGCCTCCTCGCACGTTGGGCCGCGGGCCTCCTCCATCGCTGGGCTACGGACAATGCTGGACTACGAGACGGGCTTCCCCATCTGCCTGGGCCGCGCGCGATGTGCTTGGTGCGCTGGGCTGCGGGCCCAGCAGCTGCTAGCTAGCGCCTATGCGTGGCAGCTGCTCGCCAGAGCTCGCCTGCCCGGCCGCCCTGCCGGAACGTTGCTGGATCTTGATCGGAGGGTTGCCGGAAGTCGCTGATCGCCGTGGGATGGTCGCCTGAAAATTCCAATACATCCGACATGCATAAATATTCCTTTTCGTGAAGAACGGACAACCCCGCGAATAACATATATA